TGAAGGGGGAGAAACAGTGGGAGGAGAGGAAGAAGAGAGACGCCGAGGAGGCGAAAAAGAGAAAATGGGAGAGTCATGGCTCCCAAGGTTCCAACAAAAAGGGGAACCATGGAGGAGGATCTTTCCGTGCACCGCCGCCACCGTCTAGGGGGAATCAAGGCCCGAGTGGGCAAGGCTCGAGGTCACAAACCTCGGTGGTAACTCGTTGCAACAATTGCAAGAGGAACCACTCCGGTAAATGTCGCGACCCCCCTAGATGTTTTCAATGTGGGGATGCCGGGCATTTGAAGGCGCATTGCCCACAATTGGGTGGGACAAGGACATCGGGACCGAGCAGTGGCCCGACGGGTACACGGAATCAAACCGGAGCGTCTCAAGCGAGCCGGGGACATGGGGGAGCGAGTACGAGCAACGCACCATCCGTGAATCAAGGAAGAACTCAAGCTAGAGTTTATGCGATGACGGAGGCGGATGCTCGAGCTAACCCGGACTCGGTTGCAGGTATTGCCCCTTGCACAATTGTATTTTGCCCATATTTAATCCATAAATTGATGACATAAGTCATAGGGATTGAGTGCGAGCCATTACGGGGTCAAACGGCGAAATTCGGGCCAAAACTGACCAAAAACAGGGACGCACGATCGTGCGTCCAACCCCACGCACGATCGTGCATAGGGGGCAGGGGCTCCGGGTGATTTTCGCGCAGGACGCACGACCGTGCGTGCCGGTACGCACGCCGTGCGTGGACGCACGATCGTGCGTGTCCGGGTACGCACGACCGTGCGTAACCGGCAGTAGCCGGAGGCGAGCCTTTTCATGCACGCACGACCGTGCGTGTCCCACGCACGACCGTGCGTGGACCCCAGCCGCCCGAAACCTAAGTTTTCCATCTCGTTCTTCTACGATTGGACCCCCGTTTGATTCCGAACCTTTATATGAACCTATTAACCTCCAAAAAGGTGTCCTAAACCATTAGAAAAGGTATCTTACATGGTGTATACATGTAGGAACATTAAAGATTAATGGGAAGGATGCACGAATCCTTATCGATACCGGAGCGCAACGTTCGTTCGTGAGTGAGGCGTTCGCCGAGGACTTAGGGGTACAATCAATACCAATGACGCACACATTAGTGGTATCAACACCACTAGGGGATGACGTTGAAAGAACTAGTTACTATCCATCTTGTGAGGTGGAAATTGATGGCCAAACCTTGACGTGTGATTTCGTACCGCTGAGTATGATGGAGTTCGATGCAATCCTAGGGATGGATTGGCTAGAAAAGCATCATGCTAGGGTAGATTGCTACACAAAGGTTTTGGAACTCGAAGGCAATAATGGGGACACCCTACGCTTCGAGGGGGATCGAGGCAAATCAAACAGTTGTATTATCTCCGCCGTGAGAGCGAGAAGTATGATGAGAAAGGGATGTCACGCATATCTAGCATACGTGGTTGACAAAACCAAGGAGGAAACGAACATTGACGACGTGAGGGTGGTTTGTAAGTACCCGGATGTCTTCCCTAAAGACCTACCGGGGCTTCCACCTGATAGGGAGATCGAATTTGTGATCGAGGTCGAGCCTGGTACCAAACCAATCTCCATACCGCCATACCGTATGGCACCCGCTGAACTTAACGAGTTGAAAACCCAATTGCAGGAGCTTTTGGATAATGGTTTCATTAGACCCAGCCACTCCCCGTGGGGAGCACCAGTTCTTTTTGTGAAAAAGAAAGATGGGACACTCCGAATGTGCATTGACTACCGTCAACTGAACAAGGTCACAATCAAGAATAGGTATCCTTTGCCTAGGATTGATGACTTATTTGACCAACTACGAGGAGCAACCGTGTTTTCAAAGATTGACTTGAGGTCGGGGTACCACCAACTGAAGATTAAGGAAGATGACATACCAAAGAGTGCTTTCCGCACAAGGTATGGGCATTTTGAATTCCTTGTTATGTCGTTTGGGTTAACAAACGCCCCGGCGGCATTCATGGACTTGATGAACCGAGTATTTCATAAATACTTGGACCGATTCGTGATTGTGTTCATAGATGACATCTTGATTTACTCAAAGAGTGAAGAAGAGCATGAAGAGCACTTGATACTTGTTCTTGAGACACTACGGGAGAAGCAACTCTATGCCAAATTTTCTAAATGTGAATTTTGGCTGAAGGAGATTGGCTTCCTCGGGCACGTGGTTTCTGGATCGGGAATTGCTGTTGACAACAAGAAGATAGAAGCCATTACCGAATGGGAGAGGCCAAAGAACGTCAAGGAAATTCGTAGTTTCCTTGGATTGGCAGGCTACTATAGGAAGTTTGTGGAAAAGTTCTCTGTTTTGGCATCACCGTTGACGAAGCTCACTCGTAAAGGGGCTAAGTTTGTATGGGATGACAAATGTGAGAAGGGGTTCATGGAACTAAAGAAGCGATTGACCGAGGCACCGGTACTTGCATTACCCAAACAGGGTGTGGGGTACGATGTCTATAGCGATGCCAGCATCCAAGGGCTTGGATGTGTACTGATGCAGAACGGGAGGGTAATCGCCTATGCTTCACGACAATTGAAGAAGCATGAGGTGAATTATCCTACTCATGATTTGGAGCTGGGGGCAGTGGTGTTTGCACTGAAGATTTGGAGACATTATCTCTACGGAGAGACATGTCACATATATACTGATCATAAGAGCTTGAAGTACGTGTTTACTCAGAAAGAGTTAAACATGAGACAGAGACGGTGGATGGAGTTGATAAAGGACTACCATCTAGTTATTGAGTACCATCCAGGCAAGGCAAACGTTGTAGCAGATGCCCTTAGTCGGAAGAGTTCGTCTGGGGCATTGTTGACTTGTTTGAGAGCACTGAGGGCCCAATTGGATGTATCTAACGACGGTGCTTTATTGGCACGATTCGAAGTGAGACCGACCTTACTTGATGAGATCAAGAAGGGTCAAGAGACTGACGCAGAACTGATGAAGGTCCGGGAACGCATGCAAGCGGGACCGGTGGAGGATTTCAGGGAAAGAGATGATGGTCTCTTGTTATTTCGTGACCGAGTGTGTGTGCCGTCAGACGATGAGCTCCGAAAGTCCATCTTAGAGGAGGCTCATTCATCGGCTTATGCCATGCACCCGGGGGGCACGAAAATGTACCGTGATTTGAAAGAAAGTTACTGGTGGTCTGGAATGAAGAGGGAAATAGCCGAGTACATCAGTCGATGCCTTACTTGCCAGCAAGTTAAGGCAGAACATCAGCATCCAGCAGGCTTGTTACAACCACTTTCCATTCCTGAGTGGAAGTGGGAACATGTGACTATGGATTTCGTGGTAGGTTTACCACGGACGATTCGGAACTATGATGCAGTTTGGGTTGTTGTGGATAGGCTCACGAAGAGTGCACACTTTTTGCCTATCAATACTACCTACCCACTTGAGAGGTTAGCCAAATTATATACGGATGAGATCGTGAGGCTGCATGGGGTCCCAGTGACCATTGTATCCGATAGAGACCCACGATTCACATCACGTTTTTGGCCGAAATTTCAGGAGTCTATGGGAACGAGGTTGAAGTTCAGTACTGCTTTCCACCCACAGACGGATGGACAGTCTGAAAGAGTCATACAGATCTTAGAAGACATGCTGAGGGCTTGTGCGTTGGAGTTCCAAGGAAGTTGGGACAACCACTTAGCACTTGTGGAATTTGCCTATAACAACAGTTATCAGGCAAGCATCGGTATGCCTCCATACGAGGCATTGTATGGGAGGAGGTGCCGTACACCGTTATGCTGGGACGAGGTTGGCTTGGCCAAACTCGAGGGTACTGAGTTGGTTGAGGTCACCAAATCAAAGGTGAAGTTGATTCGAGAGAGACTCAAAGCGGCTCAGGATAGACAAAAGAGTTATGCAGATAAGCGTCGAAGAACCTTAGAGTTTAAGGTTGATGACGAGGTATTCTTGAAAGTTTCTCCTTGGAAAGGGATCATTCGATTCCAAACCCGAGGAAAACTTAACCCACGATATATAGGTCCATTCAGAATTATAGAGAGGATTGGGGCCGTAGCATATCGTCTACAGTTGACTCCTGAGTTAGAGAAGATACATAATGTGTTCCATGTATCCATGCTTAAGAAGTATGTGCATGATCCCTCTCACGTATTGGAAAAGCCGCCTGTGGAGGTACGTGAGGATTTGAACTACGCGGTGCAACCAATCAGGGTCACCGACAGGAAGGTGAAGAAATTGAGGAGTAAAGAAGTCCCAATGGTGAAAGTTCTTTGGAAGAGCGATCGGGTCGAAGAAAAGACATGGGAGACAGAGGCTTTGATGAGGAAGCAGTATGCTTTCCTATTCGAGTAGAGCTGTGAATTTCGGGGACGAAATTCCTGTTAAGGGGGGGTGAACTTGTGACACCGCACCCGAACGTCCTTGAAAATTCGATTTAAAAATTTAACATTTATGTATTGAATTTCCGATTGCCAAACAATTGTAAAGCGATTAATGTTTTACGTAGCGCATGACTGAATATCGTACTGTTCAACTCGTATGATAGTGTCGGGTTTGCAAACACTTTCCGGGACTTATTAATAAATAAAAGAGCCCAACGTTATCTAAATAGGTGATCGAATGATTAAAGAAGAATACCCATGCCTACAACCCTATCTTTGGCATTTTTGAGCTAAATAATGGGAGTAGGATTTTCCTCCTATAATATCCATCAAGTAAATTATGGGGATGAGCCTACACATATTGGAGATCAATAATGTGATTTAGGAAGTTGACTTGTTCTAAATAAATTAGGATGAGTACAAAAGACATCTTTTGACAAAGATAAAACAATAGGACCCATTTTCCTCATTTTTGGAAGTATTGGTGGATAATTTGAATCCCAAAATGATTGGGATCAATTGGGAACCACTCCACATGACATTAGTACCTGCAAGACAAATAAAAATGGGTTAGGAAACTTACCTTGGCCGACCACCATGGAGAGGAGCTGCACAAGACTTGATAGGAATCAAATTTTGGGGCCACCACCACTGTTTTCGCACAAACAGGTGTGCTGTTTTGTCTCCCTTCATTTTGAGAGTTGTACTCGTCCAAATGAGGTGTATAAGGTGTCCTTGGATAGCCTTTGAAGTCTAGTATCTCAATTGAGTGGTCTTTGTTCGAGGAGAGAAAGCTTATCTTACAAAAATCGAGCTGGAGTGGGTGGTGGTCTGTGAACTCGAGCTGTGAGAGTGCTGAGACTGTTTGGTTGATATCTCGAGTTTTACCAATCCAATTAGGGCGTGTGAGATACCAAAAGAAAGCTCTCAAGACGAGGAATCCGTGAAGGTCTGGTTTGCATCAATCGGAGTAGAGGAAGACTTCCAAATCGTCCGAGCAAAACACAACCTCGCAGAAACGGATTTACTCTTCTAAAGAATCGAGTTAGCCGGAAAACACCCGTTCTAGGGGCTGTTTTCGTATCAACGATTAGGAGTTGAAATAGCAACTTGAGGAAACTGTTTAACACCCATTTTCAAGCAAGGAACCAGCTCTCAATCTTCCTTGGCCGAGGCTTTGGTCATTGGATCGAGAAGGAAGGTTTTAAAGCTCATTTGAGGTGAGGATTGACATCTAATTGCTTACAACTTGTAGGTTAAGCATGAGATTACCTAAATGCTTAAATCATTATTTTTCATGGATTATGATGATTATATATTGATGAAATATTGATATAGTTGCCAAAGAATGAAATATGAAATGAATTGTGAATGTATGAATAATATGAGATTAAAGGAGTATAAATGAACTTTTTGTGAAATAGGCATTTTGCTCATGTATGAATTATGTGGATACATAAATGAATATTTGTGTATTGAGATTAAATACTTAAGTTGCTGCTACATAATTATAAATATGTAGAGAATTACAAATAATGAGGATAATGGTATGATAACAATAAATCTTAATAGTATTGAAATACTAGTTAGTGATTATTGGGACTTGTTGATTAAATTGATCCTAGGGATTGGATTGTATGAAAGGTACTTGAATATAGTTCAAGTGTATATAATACTTAGTATGGAACTAAGGTTAAGTTATGGGAAGTCTTTAAGGATGACCCATGGTAGTTTAATGTTATGTTAATTCTAGGCATAGGGTTGCTTGAGAATTGGACCTTAATGCATGGTGATGTGATAGAGCCGAGCTCTAGAATGCATGTAAGGTGTAGACTTGGAGTCTATGTATTGTATAGCTAGAGCCGAGCTCTAGGACTTGCGTGGTGATGTGATAGAGCCGAGCTCTAGAACGCAAGGTAGGGAAATTGACCCGAGGTATATGAATTGTATGGTGATGTGGTAGAGCCGAGCTCTAGAATACAATGTCATGTACTAGGGTTGGACTCTAGGAGTTGTCGTGGCTTATAGTCACGGGGTTGGGAATGGTGATTTCCAAATGAACATGGGCCCACGGGCCGTCTACTTGACTTTTATATAAAGTAAGTATATTTTTAAACGGGGTAACTTAGGGTTACAATCATAATGTACTATCACCCTATTTGAGGGTCTTGTGTTTGAAATACTTGTTGTATATCTATTAGATGCCTGCCACACCAACACTTTATAGCCGTATAGAGTGCTGACCCCTTCGGGGGCGTCCCACCACCATTTTTCAGGTTGAGGCTAGAGCTTGCTTCCTGTGCTCGTTGCTCGAGAGATCATCTAGGAGCGAAGACTTGGTTCGTGCTTCCTCCATTCGGATTTTAAACATTAATAAACATGCTCATGGATATTTTATTATAGAGCCTGCGTGCTCATGAATAGCCCTATGTGGCCCTTTCGTTTTAAACAATGTTTTCCGCTGCTTTATGAATTACTTATTATGTTGTTTATGGATGACTTATGTGTGAATGATATTCATGACGCCTTGTATAATATGAATGTGTTGGACTGCGGTTGACTATTCGTATTGTACGGCGGGTTGTCGACGTGTCCGGGGAGGTCCGGGGCGTGACAATTAAGTTGGTATCAGAGCCCTTAGTCCATAAACTTCATAATGAAGTCTCAAAACTCTCTTTTTGAAAAGATTTTGAAAAAAAAACCATGAGCATAGAAGTTTTGTACTTGGAGAGCTTTTGGTACTTGGGTTGCAAAGTCTCTAATTGTTAAGATGGTACCCTTAGCAATTGGTATGGCGGTGACTCGAGCCAAAATGTGTCTTAAGTACCTATCCGTCAATTGACATTTGATACGAGTCTAACGACTCTTTCCAAATTCTTTCAGAAATGGACCGTGGTGGCAGGATTACTAGGAGAAACCCGACCGGCCGCGTACCAGTGGAGACTGGACAGGGCAGTCGAAGGACCTCTAGGGCATCTAGAGGAGCTGGCCGTGGAGGCCGATCACAGACCGTAAGTGACGGTCATGTGGACACAGAAAGTGAAACCTACTGGTCCTATGAGGACTCGACTTACCAACCGGAAACCGAGCCGGTTGAGACCCCTTACGAAGGGGATGACGATGATGTAAGTGATGAAGAGGGGGAGAATGACTCCCTAGCAAGAATCGAGGCGCTGCTCCAACAATATCAACGGGAGCGCGAGGAAAGGAGGCAACGCCGAAGACGCCGAGCGGGGCAACCTTCGGGCATGGCTTCGAGAGGAGGAAGTCATGGTGCATCTAGAGTCCATGTGGAACCACATGGAGGCCAAAATGATGGAGGTCCAACCATAAGGATCTCCAAATTTATCAAAGAAGCAAGAGATTTGGGGTGCAAACCCTTTGATGGAGCAGGGGACATTTCAGTTGCAGCACAATGGATCAAGAGGCTAAATGAAGCAGCCCTTGACATGCAAATCGCGCCAAATCTCAAACTGAGAATTGCGGTAAGATTGCTCGAGGGGATGGCATCCAAGTGGTGGGATGGAACCAAGAGCAAGTACGGTGAGACCGTCGTTTGGGAGGACTTCCAACGGGAATTCTTTGCCCAATATTATTCTGATTTTGAGGTGAACAAGAAGGTGAGGGAATACACCCTCCTAACCCAAGGAGGTAACATGACAGTGAAGGAACTTGAGTACAAGTTCCGGGATCTCGCCGACTACATACCGGAGTATGCTTGTGACGAGAACCGAATGGTAAACCACTTTTGGGATGCTCTTGACTTGGAGATACGTGATAGGGCAACACAATTGCCTAACATGACTTTCGCCCAAGTGGTTGACCAAGCGTTGAAGGGGGAGAAACAGTGGGAGGAGAGGAAGAAGAGAGACGCCGAGGAGGCGAAAAAGAGAAAATGGGAGAGTCATGGCTCCCAAGGTTCCAACAAAAAGGGGAACCATGGAGGAGGATCTTTCCGTGCACCGCCGCCACCGTCTAGGGGGAATCAAGGCCCGAGTGGGCAAGGCTCGAGGTCACAAACCTCGGTGGTAACTCGTTGCAACAATTGCAAGAGGAACCACTCCGGTAAATGTCGCGACCCCCCTAGATGTTTTCAATGTGGGGATGCCGGGCATTTGAAGGCGCATTGCCCACAATTGGGTGGGACAAGGACATCGGGACCGAGCAGTGGCCCGACGGGTACACGGAATCAAACCGGAGCGTCTCAAGCGAGCCGGGGACATGGGGGAGCGAGTACGAGCAACGCACCATCCGTGAATCAAGGAAGAACTCAAGCTAGAGTTTATGCGATGACGGAGGCGGATGCTCGAGCTAACCCGGACTCGGTTGCAGGTATTGCCCCTTGCACAATTGTATTTTGCCCATATTTAATCCATAAATTGATGACATAAGTCATAGGGATTGAGTGCGAGCCATTACGGGGTCAAACGGCGAAATTCGGGCCAAAACTGACCAAAAACAGGGACGCACGATCGTGCGTCCAACCCCACGCACGATCGTGCATAGGGGGCAGGGGCTCCGGGTGATTTTCGCGCAGGACGCACGACCGTGCGTGCCGGTACGCACGCCGTGCGTGGACGCACGATCGTGCGTGTCCGGGTACGCACGACCGTGCGTAACCGGCAGTAGCCGGAGGCGAGCCTTTTCATGCACGCACGACCGTGCGTGTCCCACGCACGACCGTGCGTGGACCCCAGCCGCCCGAAACCTAAGTTTTCCATCTCGTTCTTCTACGATTGGACCCCCGTTTGATTCCGAACCTTTATATGAACCTATTAACCTCCAAAAAGGTGTCCTAAACCATTAGAAAAGGTATCTTACATGGTGTATACATGTAGGAACATTAAAGATTAATGGGAAGGATGCACGAATCCTTATCGATACCGGAGCGCAACGTTCGTTCGTGAGTGAGGCGTTCGCCGAGGACTTAGGGGTACAATCAATACCAATGACGCACACATTAGTGGTATCAACACCACTAGGGGATGACGTTGAAAGAACTAGTTACTATCCATCTTGTGAGGTGGAAATTGATGGCCAAACCTTGACGTGTGATTTCGTACCGCTGAGTATGATGGAGTTCGATGCAATCCTAGGGATGGATTGGCTAGAAAAGCATCATGCTAGGGTAGATTGCTACACAAAGGTTTTGGAACTCGAAGGCAATAATGGGGACACCCTACGCTTCGAGGGGGATCGAGGCAAATCAAACAGTTGTATTATCTCCGCCGTGAGAGCGAGAAGTATGATGAGAAAGGGATGTCACGCATATCTAGCATACGTGGTTGACAAAACCAAGGAGGAAACGAACATTGACGACGTGAGGGTGGTTTGTAAGTACCCGGATGTCTTCCCTAAAGACCTACCGGGGCTTCCACCTGATAGGGAGATCGAATTTGTGATCGAGGTCGAGCCTGGTACCAAACCAATCTCCATACCGCCATACCGTATGGCACCCGCTGAACTTAACGAGTTGAAAACCCAATTGCAGGAGCTTTTGGATAATGGTTTCATTAGACCCAGCCACTCCCCGTGGGGAGCACCAGTTCTTTTTGTGAAAAAGAAAGATGGGACACTCCGAATGTGCATTGACTACCGTCAACTGAACAAGGTCACAATCAAGAATAGGTATCCTTTGCCTAGGATTGATGACTTATTTGACCAACTACGAGGAGCAACCGTGTTTTCAAAGATTGACTTGAGGTCGGGGTACCACCAACTGAAGATTAAGGAAGATGACATACCAAAGAGTGCTTTCCGCACAAGGTATGGGCATTTTGAATTCCTTGTTATGTCGTTTGGGTTAACAAACGCCCCGGCGGCATTCATGGACTTGATGAACCGAGTATTTCATAAATACTTGGACCGATTCGTGATTGTGTTCATAGATGACATCTTGATTTACTCAAAGAGTGAAGAAGAGCATGAAGAGCACTTGATACTTGTTCTTGAGACACTACGGGAGAAGCAACTCTATGCCAAATTTTCTAAATGTGAATTTTGGCTGAAGGAGATTGGCTTCCTCGGGCACGTGGTTTCTGGATCGGGAATTGCTGTTGACAACAAGAAGATAGAAGCCATTACCGAATGGGAGAGGCCAAAGAACGTCAAGGAAATTCGTAGTTTCCTTGGATTGGCAGGCTACTATAGGAAGTTTGTGGAAAAGTTCTCTGTTTTGGCATCACCGTTGACGAAGCTCACTCGTAAAGGGGCTAAGTTTGTATGGGATGACAAATGTGAGAAGGGGTTCATGGAACTAAAGAAGCGATTGACCGAGGCACCGGTACTTGCATTACCCAAACAGGGTGTGGGGTACGATGTCTATAGCGATGCCAGCATCCAAGGGCTTGGATGTGTACTGATGCAGAACGGGAGGGTAATCGCCTATGCTTCACGACAATTGAAGAAGCATGAGGTGAATTATCCTACTCATGATTTGGAGCTGGGGGCAGTGGTGTTTGCACTGAAGATTTGGAGACATTATCTCTACGGAGAGACATGTCACATATATACTGATCATAAGAGCTTGAAGTACGTGTTTACTCAGAAAGAGTTAAACATGAGACAGAGACGGTGGATGGAGTTGATAAAGGACTACCATCTAGTTATTGAGTACCATCCAGGCAAGGCAAACGTTGTAGCAGATTCCCTTAGTCGGAAGAGTTCGTCTGGGGCATTGTTGACTTGTTTGAGAGCACTGAGGGCCCAATTGGATGTATCTAGCGACGGTGCTTTATTGGCACGATTCGAAGTGAGACCGACCTTACTTGATGAGATCAAGAAGGGTCAAGAGACTGACGCAGAACTGATGAAGGTCCGGGAACGCATGCAAGCGGGACCGGTGGAGGATTTCAGGGAAAGAGATGATGGTCTCTTGTTATTTCGTGACCGAGTGTGTGTGCCGTCAGACGATGAGCTCCGAAAGTCCATCTTAGAGGAGGCTCATTCATCGGCTTATGCCATGCACCCGGGGGGCACGAAAATGTACCGTGATTTGAAAGAAAGTTACTGGTGGTCTGGAATGAAGAGGGAAATAGCCGAGTACATCAGTCGATGCCTTACTTGCCAGCAAGTTAAGGCAGAACATCAGCATCCAGCAGGCTTGTTACAACCACTTTCCATTCCTGAGTGGAAGTGGGAACATGTGACTATGGATTTCGTGGTAGGTTTACCACGGACGATTCGGAACTATGATGCAGTTTGGGTTGTTGTGGATAGGCTCACGAAGAGTGCACACTATTTGCCTATCAATACTACCTACCCACTTGAGAGGTTAGCCAAATTATATACGGATGAGATCGTGAGGCTGCATGGGGTCCCAGTGACCATTGTATCCGATAGAGACCCACGATTCACATCACGTTTTTGGCCGAAATTTCAGGAGTCTATGGGAACGAGGTTGAAGTTCAGTACTGCTTTCCACCCACAGATGGATGGACAGTCTGAAAGAGTCATACAGATCTTAGAAGACATGCTGAGGGCTTGTGCGTTGGAGTTCCAAGGAAGTTGGGACAACCACTTAGCACTTGTGGAATTTGCCTATAACAACAGTTATCAGGCAAGCATCGGTATGCCTCCATACGAGGCATTGTATGGGAGGAGGTGCCGTACACCGTTATGCTGGGACGAGGTTGGCTTGGCCAAACTCGAGGGTACTGAGTTGGTTGAGGTCACCAAATCAAAGGTGAAGTTGATTCGAGAGAGACTCAAAGCGGCTCAGGATAGACAAAAGAGTTATGCAGATAAGCGTCGAAGAACCTTAGAGTTTAAGGTTGATGACGAGGTATTCTTGAAAGTTTCTCCTTGGAAAGGGATCATTCGATTCCAAACCCGAGGAAAACTTAACCCACGATATATAGGTCCATTCAGAATTATAGAGAGGATTGGGGCCGTAGCATATCGTCTACAGTTGACTCCTGAGTTAGAGAAGATACATAATGTGTTCCATGTATCCATGCTTAAGAAGTATGTGCATGATCCCTCTCACGTATTGGAAAAGCCGCCTGTGGAGGTACGTGAGGATTTGAACTACGCGGTGCAACCAATCAGGGTCACCGACAGGAAGGTGAAGAAATTGAGGAGTAAAGAAGTCCCAATGGTGAAAGTTCTTTGGAAGAGCGATCGGGTCGAAGAAGAGACATGGGAGACAGAGGCTTTGATGAGGAAGCAGTATGCTTTCCTATTCGAGTAGAGCTGTGAATTTCGGGGACGAAATTCCTGTTAAGGGGGGGTGAACTTGTGACACCGCACCCGAACGTCCTTGAAAATTCGATTTAAAAATTTAACATTTATGTATTGAATTTCCGATTGCCAAACAATTGTAAAGCGATTAATGTTTTACGTAGCGCATGACTGAATATCGTACTGTTCAACTCGTATGATAGTGTCGGGTTTGCAAACACTTTCCGGGACTTATTAATAAATAAAAGAGCCCAACGTTATCTAAATAGGTGATCGAATGATTAAAGAAGAATACCAATGCCTACAACCCTATCTTTGGCATTTTTGAGCTAAATAATGGGAGTAGGATTTTCCTCCTATAATATCCATCAAGTAAATTATGGGGATGAGCCTACACATATTGGAGATCAATAATGTGATTTAGGAAGTTGACTTGTTCTAAATAAATTAGGATGAGTACAAAAGACATCTTTTGACAAAGATAAAACAATAGGACCCATTTTCCTCATTTTTGGAAGTATTGGTGGATAATTTGAATCCCAAAATGATTGGGATCAATTGGGAACCACTCCACATGACATTAGTACCTGCAAGACAAATAAAAATGGGTTAGGAAACTTACCTTGGCCGACCACCATGGAGAGGAGCTGCACAAGACTTGATAGGAATCAAATTTTGGGGCCACCACCACTGTTTTCGCACAAACAGGTGTGCTGTTTTGTCTCCCTTCATTTTGAGAGTTGTACTCGTCCAAATGAGGTGTATAAGGTGTCCTTGGATAGCCTTTGAAGTCTAGTATCTCAATTGAGTGGTCTTTGTTCGAGGAGAGAAAGCTTATCTTACAAAAATCGAGCTGGAGTGGGTGGTGGTCTGTGAACTCGAGCTGTGAGAGTGCTGAGACTGTTTGGTTGATATCTCGAGTTTTACCAATCCAATTAGGGCGTGTGAGATACCAAAAGAAAGATCTCAAGACGAGGAATCCGTGAAGGTCTGGTTTGCATCAATCGGAGTAGAGGAAGGCTTCCAAATCGTCCGAGCAAAACACAACCTAGCAGAAACGGATTTACTCTTCTAAAGAATCGAGTTAGCCGGAAAACACCCGTTCTAGGGGCTGTTTTCGTATCAACGATTAGGAGTTGAAATAGCAACTTGAGGAAACTGTTTAACACCCATTTTCAAGCAAGGAACCAGCTCTCAATCTTCCTTGGCCGAGGCTTTGGTCATTGGATCGAGAAGGAAGGTTTTAAAGCTCATTTGAGGTGAGGATTGACATCTAATTGCTTACAACTTGTAGGTTAAGCATGAGATTACCTAAATGCTTAAATCATTATTTTTCATGGATTATGATGATTATATATTGATGAAATATTGATATAGTTGCCAAAGAATGAAATATGAAATGAATTGTGAATGTATGAATAATATGAGATTAAAGGAGTATAAATGAACTTTTTGTGAAATAGGCATTTTGCTCATGTATGAATTATGTGGATACATAAATGAATATTTGTGTATTGAGATTAAATACTTAAGTTGCTGCTACATAATTATAAATATGTAGAGAATTACAAATAATGAGGATAATGGTATGATAACAATAAATCTTAATAGTATTGAAATACTAGTTAGTGATTATTGGGACTTGTTGATTAAATTGATCCTAGGGATTGGATTGTATGAAAGGTACTTGAATATAGTTCAAGTGTATATAATACTTAGTATGGAACTAAGGTTAAGTTATGGGAAGTCTTTAAGGATGACCCATGGTAGTTTAATGATATGTTAATTCTAGGCATAGGGTTGCTTGAGAATTGGACCTTAATGCATGGTGATGTGATAGAGCCGAGCTCTAGAATGCATGTAAGGTGTAGACTTGGAGTCTATGTATTGTATAGCTAGAGCCGAGCTCTAGGACTTGCGTGGTGATGTGATAGAGCCGAGCTCTAGAACGCAAGGTAGGGAAATTGACCCGAGGTATATGAATTGTATGGTGATGTGGTAGAGCCGAGCTCTAGAATACAATGTCATGTACTAGGGTTGGACTCTAGGAGTTGTCGTGGCTTATAGTCACGGGGTTGGGAATGGTGATTTCCAAATGAACATGGGCCCACGGGCCGTCTACTTGACTTTTATATAAAGTAAGTATATTTTTAAACGGGGTAACTTAGGGTTACAATCATAATGTACTATCACCCTATTTGAGGGTCTTGTGTTTGAAATACTTGTTGTATATCTATTAGATGCCTGCCACACCAACACTTTATAGCCGTATAGAGTGCTGACCCCTTCGGGGGCGTCCCACCACCATTTTTCAGGTTGAGGCTAGAGCTTGCTTCCTGTGCTCGTTGCTCGAGAGATCATCTAGGAGCGAAGACTTGGTTCGTGCTTCCTCCATTCGGATTTTAAACATTAATAAACATGCTCATGGATATTTTATTATAGAGCCTGCGTGCTCATGAATAGCCCTATGTGGCCCTTTCGTTTTAAACAATGTTTTCCGCTGCTTTATGAATTACTTATTATGTTGTTTATGGATGACTTATGTGTGAATGATATTCATGACGCCTTGTATAATATGAATGTGTTGGACTGCGGTTGACTATTCGTATTGTACGGCGGGTTGTCGACGTGTCCGGGGAGGTCCGGGGCGTGACAATTAAGTTGGTATCAGAGCCCTTAGTCCATAAACTTCATAATGAAGTCTCAAAACTCTCTTTTTGAAAAGATTTTGAAAAAAAAACCATGAGCATAGAAGTTTTGTACTTGGAGAGCTTTTGGTACTTGGGTTGCAAAGTCTCTAATTGTTAAGATGGTACCCTTAGCAATTGGTATGGCGGTGACTCGAGCCAAAATGTGTCTTAAGTACCTATCCGTCAATTGACATTTGATACGAGTCTAACGACTCTTTCCAAATTCTTTCAGAAATGGACCGTGGTGGCAGGATTACTAGGAGAAACCCGACCGGCCGCGTACCAGTGGAGACTGGACAGGGCAGTCGAAGGACCTCTAGGGCATCTAGAGGAGCTGGCCGTGGAGGCCGATCACAGACCGTAAGTGACGGTCATGTGGACACAGAAAGTGAAACCTACTGGTCCTATGAGGACTCGACTTACCAACCGGAAACCGAGCCGGTTGAGACCCCTTACGAAGGGGATGACGATGATGTAAGTGATGAAGAGGGGGAGAATGACTCCCTAGCAAGAATCGAGGCGCTGCTCCAACAATATCAACGGGAGCGCGAGGAAAGGAGGCAACGCCGAAGACGCCGAGCGGGGCAACCTTCGGGCATGGCTTCGAGAGGAGGAAGTCATGGTGCATCTAGAGTCCATGTGGAACCACATGGAGGCCAAAATGATGGAGGTCCAACCATAAGGATCTCCAAATTTATCAAAGAAGCAAGAGATTTGGGGTGCAAACCCTTTGATGGAGCAGGGGACATTTCAGTTGCAGCACAATGGATCAAGAGGCTAAATGAAGCAGCCCTTGACATGCAAATCGCGCCAAATCTCAAACTGAGAATTGCGGTAAGATTGCTCGAGGGGATGGCATCCAAGTGGTGGGATGGAACCAAGAGCAAGTACGGTGAGACCGTCGTTTGGGAGGACTTCCAACGGGAATTCTTTGCCCAATATTATTCTGATTTTGAGGTGAACAAGAAGGTGAGGGAATACACCCTCCTAACCCAAGGAGGTAACATGACAGTGAAGGAACTTGAGTACAAGTTCCGGGATCTCGCCGACTACATACCGGAGTATGCTTGTGACGAGAACCGAATGGTAAACCACTTTTGGGATGCTCTTGACTTGGAGATACGTGATAGGGCAACACAATTGCCTAACATGACTTTCGCCCAAGTGGTTGACCAAGCGTTGAAGGGGGAGAAACAGTGGGAGGAGAGGAAGAAGAGAGACGCCGAGGAGGCGAAAAAGAGAAAATGGGAGAGTCATGGCTCCCAAGGTTCCAACAAAAAGGGGAACCATGGAGGAGGATCTTTCCGTGCACCGCCGCCACCGTCTAGGGGGAATCAAGGCCCGAGTGGGCAAGGCTCGAGGTCACAAACCTCGGTGGTAACTCGTTGCAACAATTGCAAGAGGAACCACTCCGGTAAATGTCGCGACCCCCCTAGATGTTTTCAATGTGGGGATGCCGGGCATTTGAAGGCGCATTGCCCACAATTGGGTGGGACAAGGACATCGGGACCGAGCAGTGGCCCGACGGGTACACGGAATCAAACCGGAGCGTCTCAAGCGAGCCGGGGACATGGGGGAGCGAGTACGAGCAACGCACCATCCGTGAATCAAGGAAGAACTCAAGCTAGAGTTTATGCGATGACGGAGGCGGATGCTCGAGCTAACCCGGACTCGGTTGCAGGTATTGCCCCTTGCACAATTGTATTTTGCCCATATTTAATCCATAAATTGATGACATAAGTCATAGGGATTGAGTGCGAGCCATTACGGGGTCAAACGGCGAAATTCGGGCCAAAACTGACCAAAAACAGGGACGCACGATCGTGCGTCCAACCCCACGCACGATCGTGCATAGGGGGCAGGGGCTCCGGGTGATTTTCGCGCAGGACGCACGACCGTGCGTGCCGGTACGCACGCCGTGCGTGGACGCACGATCGTGCGTGTCCGGGTACGCACGACCGTGCGTAACCGGCAGTAGCCGGAGGCGAGCCTTTTCATGCACGCACGACCGTGCGTGTCCCACGCACGACCGTGCGTGGACCCCAGCCGCCCGAAACCTAAGTTTTCCATCTCGTTCTTCTACGATTGGACCCCCGTTTGATTCCGAACCTTTATATGAACCTATTAACCTCCAAAAAGGTGTCCTAAACCATTAGAAAAGGTATCTTACATGGTGTATACATGTAGGAACATTAAAGATTAATGGGAAGGATGCACGAATCCTTATCGATACCGGAGCGCAACGTTCGTTCGTGAGTGAGGCGTTCGCCGAGGACTTAGGGGTACAATCAATACCAATGACGCACACATTAGTGGTATCAACACCACTAGGGGATGACGTTGAAAGAACTAGTTACTATCCATCTTGTGAGGTGGAAATTGATGGCCAAACCTTGACGTGTGATTTCGTACCGCTGAGTATGATGGAGTTCGATGCAATCCTAGGGATGGATTGGCTAGAAAAGCATCATGCTAGGGTAGATTGCTACACAAAGGTTTTGGAACTCGAAGGCAATAATGGGGACACCCTACGCTTCGAGGGGGATCGAGGCAAATCAAACAGTTGTATTATCTCCGCCGTGAGAGCGAGAAGTATGATGAGAAAGGGATGTCACGCATATCTAGCATACGTGGTTGACAAAACCAAGGAGGAAACGAACATTGACGACGTGAGGGTGGTTTGTAAGTACCCGGATGTCTTCCCTAAAGACCTACCGGGGCTTCCACCTGATAGGGAGATCGAATTTGTGATCGAGGTCGAGCCTGGTACCAAACCAATCTCCATACCGCCATACCGTATGGCACCCGCTGAACTTAACGAGTTGAAAACCCAATTGCAGGAGCTTTTGGATAATGGTTTCATTAGACCCAGCCACTCCCCGTGGGGAGCACCAGTTCTTTTTGTGAAAAAGAAAGATGGGACACTCCGAATGTGCATTGACTACCGTCAACTGAACAAGGTCACAATCAAGAATAGGTATCCTTTGCCTAGGATTGATGACTTATTTGACCAACTACGAGGAGCAACCGTGTTTTCAAAGATTGACTTGAGGTCGGGGTACCACCAACTGAAGATTAAGGAAGATGACATACCAAAGAGTGCTTTCCGCACAAGGTATGGGCATTTTGAATTCCTTGTTATGTCGTTTGGGTTAACAAACGCCCCGGCGGCATTCATGGACTTGATGAACCGAGTATTTCATAAATACTTGGACCGATTCGTGATTGTGTTCATAGATGACATCTTGATTTACTCAAAGAGTGAAGAAGAGCATGAAGAGCACTTGATACTTGTTCTTGAGACACTACGGGAGAAGCAACTCTATGCCAAATTTTCTAAATGTGAATTTTGGCTGAAGGAGATTGGCTTCCTCGGGCACGTGGTTTCTGGATCGGGAATTGCTGTTGACAACAAGAAGATAGAAGCCATTACCGAATGGGAGAGGCCAAAGAACGTCAAGGAAATTCGTAGTTTCCTTGGATTGGCAGGCTACTATAGGAAGTTTGTGGAAAAGTTCTCTGTTTTGGCATCACCGTTGACGAAGCTCACTCGTAAAGGGGCTAAGTTTGTATGGGATGACAAATGTGAGAAGGGGTTCATGGAACTAAAGAAGCGATTGACCGAGGCACCGGTACTTGCATTACCCAAACAGGGTGTGGGGTACGATGTCTATAGCGATGCCAGCATCCAAGGGCTTGGATGTGTACTGATGCAGAACGGGAGGGTAATCGCCTATGCTTCACGACAATTGAAGAAGCATGAGGTGAATTATCCTACTCATGATTTGGAGCTGGGGGCAGTGGTGTTTGCACTGAAGATTTGGAGACATTATCTCTACGGAGAGACATGTCACATATATACTGATCATAAGAGCTTGAAGTACGTGTTTACCCAGAAAGAGTTAAACATGAGACAGAGACGGTGGATGGAGTTGATAAAGGACTACCATCTAGTTATTGAGTACCATCCAGGCAAGGCAAACGTTGTAGCAGATGCCCTTAGTCGGAAGAGTTCGTCTGGGGCATTGTTGACTTGTTTGAGAGCACTGAGGGCCCAATTGGATGTATCTAACGACGGTGCTTTATTGGCACGATTCGAAGTGAGACCGACCTTACTTGATGAGATCAAGAAGGGTCAAGAGACTGACGAAGAACTGATGAAGGTCCGGGAACGCATGCAAGCGGGACCGGTGGAGGATTTCAGGGAAAGAGATGATGGTCTCTTGTTATTTCGTGACCGAGTGTGTGTGCCGTCAGACGATGAGCTCCGAAAGTCCATCTTAGAGGAGGCTCATTCATCGGCTTATGCCATGCACCCGGGGGGCACGAAAATGTACCGTGATTTGAAAGAAAGTTACTGGTGGTCTGGAATGAAGAGGGAAATAGCCGAGTACATCAGTCGATGCCTTACTTGCCAGCAAGTTAAGGCAGAACATCAGCATCCAGCAGGCTTGTTACAACCACTTTCCATTCCTGAGTGGAAGTGGGAACATGTGACTATGGATTTCGTGGTAGGTTTACCACGGACGATTCGGAACTATGATGCAGTTTGGGTTGTTGTGGATAGGCTCACGAAGAGTGCACACTTTTTGCCTATCAATACTACCTACCCACTTGAGAGGTTAGCCAAATTATATACGGATGAGATCGTGAGGCTGCATGGGGTCCCAGTGACCATTGTATCCGATAGAGACCCACGATTCACATCACGTTTTTGGCCGAAATTTCAGGAGTCTATGGGAACGAGGTTGAAGTTCAGTACTGCTTTCCACCCACAGACGGATGGACAGTCTGAAAGAGTCATACAGATCTTAGAAGACATGCTGAGGGCTTGTGCGTTGGAGTTCCAAGGAAGTTGGGACAACCACTTAGCACTTGTGGAATTTGCCTATAACAACAGTTATCAGGCAAGCATCGGTATGCCTCCATACGAGGCATTGTATGGGAGGAGGTGCCGTACACCGTTATGCTGAGACGAGGTTGGCTTGGCCAAACTCGAGGGTACTGAGTTGGTTGAGGTCACCAAATCAAAGGTGAAGTTGATTCGAGAGAGACTCAAAGCGGCTCAGGATAGACAAAAGAGTTATGCAGATAAGCGTCGAAGAACCTTAGAGTTTAAGGTTGATGACGAGGTATTCTTGAAAGTTTCTCCTTGGAAAGGGATCATTCGATTCCAAACCCGAGGAAAACTTAACCCACGATATATAGGTCCATTCAGAATTATAGAGAGGATTGGGGCCGTAGCATATCGTCTACAGTTGACTCCTGAGTTAGAGAAGATACATAATGTGTTCCATGTATCCATGCTTAAGAAGTATGTGCATGATCCCTCTCACGTATTGGAAAAGCCGCCTGTGGAGGTACGTGAGGATTTGAACTACGCGGTGCAACCAATCAGGGTCACCGACAGGAAGGTGAAGAAATTGAGGAGTAAAGAAGTCCCAATGGTGAAAGTTCTTTGGAAGAGCGATCGGGTCGAAGAAGAGACATGGGAGACAGAGGCTTTGATGAGGAAGCAGTATGCTTTCCTATTCGAGTAGAGCTGTGAATTTCGGGGACGAAATTCCTGTTAAGGGGGGGTGAACTTGTGACACCGCACCCGAACGTCCTTGAAAATTCAATTTAAAAATTTAACATTTATGTATTGAATTTCCGATTGCCAAACAATTGTAAAGCGATTAATGTTTTACGTAGCGCATGACTGAATATCGTACTGTTCAACTCGTATGATAGTGTCAGGTTTGCAAACACTTTCCGGGACTTATTAATAAATAAAAGAGCCCAACGTTATCTAAATAGGTGATCGAATGATTAAAGAAGAATACCAATGCCTACAACCCTATCTTTGGCATTTTTGAGCTAAATAATGGGAGTAGGATTTTCCTCCTATAATATCCATCAAGTAAATTATGGGGATGAGCCTACACATATTGGAGATCAATAATGTGATTTAGGAAGTTGACTTGTTCTAAATAAATTAGGATGAGTACAAAAGACATCTTTTGACAAAGATAAAACAATAGGACCCATTTTCCTCATTTTTGGAAGTATTGGTGGATAATTTGAATCCCAAAATGATTGGGATCAATTGGGAACCACTCCACATGACATTAGTACCTGCAAGACAAATAAAAATGGGTTAGGAAACTTACCTTGGCCGACCACCATGGAGAGGAGCTGCACAAGACTTGATAGGAATCAAATTTTGGGGCCACCACCACTGTTTTCGCACAAACAGGTGTGCTGTTTTGTCTCCCTTCATTTTGAGAGTTGTACTCGTCCAAATGAGGTGTATAAGGTGTCCTTGGATAGCCTTTGAAGTCTAGTATCTCAATTGAGTGGTCTTTGTTCGAGGAGAGAAAGCTTATCTTACAAAAATCGAGCTGGAGTGGGTGGTGGTCTGTGAACTCGAGCTGTGAGAGTGCTGAGACTGTTTGGTTGATATCTCGCGTTTTACCAATCCAATTAGGGCGTGTGAGATACCAAAAGAAAGCTCTCAAGACGAGGAATCCGTGAAGGTCTGGTTTGCATCAATCGGAGTAGAGGAAGGCTTCCAAATCGTCCGAGCAAAACACAACCTCGCAGAAACGGATTTACTCTTCTAAAGAATCGAGTTAGCCGGAAAACACCCGTTCTAGGGGCTGTTTTCATATCAACGATTAGGAGTTGAAATAGCAACTTGAGGAAACTGTTTAACACCCATTTTCAAGCAAGGAACCAGCTCTCAATCTTCCTTGGCCGAGGCTTTGGTCATTGGATCGAGAAGGAAGGTTTTAAAGCTCATTTGAGGTGAGGATTGACATCTAATTGCTTACAACTTGTAGGTTAAGCATGAGATTACCTAAATGCTTAAATCATTATTTTTCATGGATTATGATGATTATATATTGATGAAATATTGATATAGTTGCCAAAGAATGAAATATGAAATGAATTGTGAATGTATGAATAATATGAGATTAAAGGAGTATAAATGAACTTTTTGTGAAATAGGCATTTTGCTCATGTATGAATTATGTGGATACATAAATGAATATTTGTGTATTGAGATTAAATACTTAAGTTGCTGCTACATAATTATAAATATGTAGAGAATTACAAATAATGAGGATAATGGTATGATAACAATAAATCTTAATAGTATTGAAATACTAGTTAGTGATTATTGGGACTTGTTGATTAAATTGATCCTAGGGATTGGATTGTATGAAAGGTACTTGAATATAGTTCAAGTGTATATAATACTTAGTATGGAACTAAGGTTAAGTTATGGGAAGTCTTTAAGGATGACCCATGGTAGTTTAATGATATGTTAATTCTAGGCATAGGGTTGCTTGAGAATTGGACCTTAATGCATGGTGATGTGATAGAGCCGAGCTCTAGAATGCATGTAAGGTGTAGACTTGGAGTCTATGTATTGTATAGCTAGAGCCGAGCTCTAGGACTTGCGTGGTGATGTGATAGAGCCGAGCTCTAGAACGCAAGGTAGGGAAATTGACCCGAGGTATATGAATTGTATGGTGATGTGGTAGAGCCGAGCTCTAGAATACAATGTCATGTACTAGGGTTGGACTCTAGGAGTTGTCGTGGCTTATAGTCACGGGGTTGGGAATGGTGATTTCCAAATGAACATGGGCCCACGGGCCGTCTACTTGACTTTTATATAAAGTAAGTATATTTTTAAACGGGGTAACTTAGGGTTACAATCATAATGTACTATCACCCTATTTGAGGGTCTTGTGTTTGAAATACTTGTTGTATATCTATTAGATGCCTGCCACACCAACACTTTATAGCCGTATAGAGTGCTGACCCCTTCGGGGGCGTCCCACCACCATTTTTCAGGTTGAGGCTAGAGCTTGCTTCCTGTGCTCGTTGCTCGAGAGATCATCTAGGAGCGAAGACTTGGTTCGTGCTTCCTCCATTCGGATTTTAAACATTAATAAACATGCTCATGGATATTTTATTATAGAGCCTGCGTGCTCATGAATAGCCCTATGTGGCCCTTTCGTTTTAAACAATGTTTTCCGCTGCTTTATGAATTACTTATTATGTTGTTTATGGATGACTTATGTGTGAATGATATTCATGACGCCTTGTATAATATGAATGTGTTGGACTGCGGTTGACTATTCGTATTGTACGGCGGGTTGTCGACGTGTCCGGGGAGGTCCGGGGCGTGACATCATGAATCTTCTCAAGTTCAGGGGTCAACTTGAGACGATAAGCTACGGCCCCAATCCTCTCAAGGATTTCAAATGGACCAATGTATCTGGGGTTAAGCTTACCCCTTGATATGAATCGGATGATGCCTTTCCAAGGAGAGATCCTTAGAAAGACTTCATCCCCGACCTCAAACTCCAACGGTCTCCGCCGTTTGTCTGCATAGCTCTTCTGCCGATCTTGGGCAGCCATAAGTCTGTCACGAATGATCTTCACCTTAGCCTTGGTGATCTCAACGAGTTCTATCCCTTCGAGTTTGGCCTCGCCAACCTCATCCCAACACAAGGGTGTCCTGCACTTCCTCCCATATAATGCCTCGTATGGAGGCATGCCAATACTCGTCTGATAACTGTTGTTATAGGCAAACTCTACAAGAGCCAAATGTCTGTCCCAACTACCTTGGAACTCCAAAGCACACGCTCTAAGCATGTCTTCCAGAATCTGTATCACCCGTTCGGATTGTCCATCCGTCTGAGGGTGAAAAGCTGTACTAAACTTCAGTTTAGTGCCCAAAGATGCTTGAAACTTTGGCCAAAACCTGGATGTGAATCGTGGATCCCTATCCGAGACAATGGATATCGGGACCCCATGCAATCTCACAATCTCTTCTGTATATAACTTGGCTAACCTTTCAAGGGGATAAGTAATGTTGATGGGTAAGAAATGTGCGCTCTTAGTGAGCCTATCAACCACTACCCAAACTGCATCATAGTTGTTAACCGTCCGTGGTAGCCTTACCACGGAATCCATGGTCACATGCTCCCACTTCCATTCTGGAATGGTAAGTGGCTGCAAAAGCCCTGCCGGGTGCTGATGTTCTGCCTTAACCTGTTGGCAAGTAAGGCATCGACTCACATACTCTGCGATGTCTCTCTTCATACCTGACCACCAATAACTCTCCTTCAAGTCTCGGTACATCTTAGTACCCCCTGGATGCATGGCATAGGCCGAAGAATGAGCCTCCTCTAGTATGGACTTCTGGAGCTCTTCATCCTTTGGTATGCAAACGCGATCCTTAAACAACAACAGACCGTCATCACGTATACGAAAGTTCTCAACGGGCCCCTCAAGGATCCGTTCACGGATCTTCTGACATTCCGCATCAATGGCCTGACATCTACTGATCTCACCCAGTAATGTAGGCCTAACCTCGAATCTAGCAATGAGGGTCCCACACGTGGACATCCCCACGTGTGCCCTCAATGCCCGTAGACATGTGAGTAACGTCCCTGTCGTACTCTTCCTGCTCAGTGCATCGGCCACCACATTGGCCTTTCCGGGATGATAATCGATGATCAAGTCATAGTCCTTGATCAACTCCATCCACCTCCTCTGTCTCATATTCAACTCTTTCTGAGTGAATACATACTTCAAACTCTTATGATCAGTATAAATGTGGCATGTCTCCCCGTAGAGATAATGCCTCCAAATCTTCAGTGCAAACACTACCGCCCCCAACTCCAGATCGTGGGTAGGGTAGTTCACCTCATGTTTCCTCAATTGCCTAGAAGCGTAGGCTATCACCTTACCGTTTTGCATCAACACACATCCTAGCCCTTGGATGCTAGCATCACTATAGATATCGTACCCTATCCCCTGCTTGGGTAGGGCAAGAACCGGTGCCTCGGTAAGTCGCTTCTTCAATTCAAGAAACCCTTCCTCACATTTGTCATCCCATATGAACTTGGCCCCCTTCTTTGTGAGCTTCGTCAATGGAGACGCCAACACGGAGAATTTCTCTACGAACTTACGATAGTATCCCGCTAAGCCAAGGAAACTACGTATTTCTTTCACATTTTTGGGTCTCTCCCAGTCGATGATGGCTTTTATTTTGGCGTTGTCCACAGCAACGCCCGATCCGGATATGACATGCCCGAGAAAGCCAATCTCTTTGAGCCAAAATTCACATTTGGAGAACTTGGCAAAGAGTTGTTTTTCTCTAAGTCGTTCGAGTACAAGCCTCAAGTGATGTTCATGCTCCTCCTCGCTCTTGGAGTATATCAAGATGTCATCAATGAATACTATCACAAATTGATCCAAGTATTCACTAAACACTCGGTTCATCAAGTCCATGAATGCCGCCGGTGCGTTGGTTAACCCGAATGACATCACAAGAAATTCATAGTGACCATATCTAGTGCGGAATGCACTCTTAGGTATGTCACTCTCCTTGATCTTCAACTGATGATAGACCGACCTCAAATCAATCTTTGAGAACACTATCGCCCCCCGAAGTTGATCAAACAAGTCATCAATCCTCGGTAAAGGATACCTATTCTTGATCGTGACTTTGTTCAACTGTCGGTAATCTATGCACATTCTCAATGTACCATCTTTCTTCTTCACAAAGAGTACGGGTGCTCCCCACGGTGAGTGACTGGGCCTAATGAATCCGTTGTCCAAAAGTTCTTGTAGTTGGACCTTCAATTCTTGAAGTTC